CTCCTTCTCTCCCTTCTCTTCCTTCCCCTCCTCTTCCAAGGCCCCCTCTGCCACTACTGACCAACCGATTCGAGCCTTTACCATACCGCCTCTGCCTCTCTTCTCCCTTCTCAACCACAATATTCGTCTCATCAACAGTCTTCCTCGGCCTCTCCTCCCCAGCACCAGCTACCCCCACTTGGACGCTTCCTCTCCCCTCTTCTCGCTTCTCTTTCTCATGCTGCTGCTGCTTCTCATCTTTGTCAGCACCAACTGCCCTGCCAGCACCCTTTCCCAACCCATCATTCCCCTCCCCATTCTTCTCTTGCACTCCACTGCTTCTTACCTTCTCAGTCTCCCGACACGGCATTCTTTCACCATGCCCACCTTTCCTACTATTCCCAACCCCACCCACCCCGCTCCTCGCCTCTCTGCTCGCGCCTACCACTCCCTGCACCCCTGCAGTCTCCCCTCTCCTCCTATCTTCCTCGCCCCCTTCCCCGCTTCCTCCCGCCTCTGCCTCTTCCACCACTCGCCTCTCACTCTTCCCACCTCTTCCCCTCGCCTCTGTTTGTTCCACCCGCCTCAATATCTCCTCCCCCTGCTCCTCCCCATCCTCCTCCTCCTCTCCTCCAATCTCCCCTTCCTCCAATTCCACCACCTCTTCACGGACCACAGGCACGTGACCCGATCCCTCTGCTGCTTCACCTGCCCCTAAATTCGGAGCAACTGCTGCTTCACCTGCCCCTGAATTCGGACCAACCGCTGATATGGAACCACCTGTTGCTTCACCTGCCCGTGAACTGAAACCGACTGCTGCTTCACCTGCCCCTGACTCGCGAGTCGACTCCACAGCCCCTCTCTCTCCCACTGTCGACTCCTGAATTGGCTTTGCAGCCACTTCGTCTCCTAAGAATCTCCGAAGCAGGGCAGAGAGACTGGTTAGGGGGCGACGTGGGGCAGAAAGAGTGGGTGTGGGGCGATGTGCGGCAGAGAGAGTGGCTGTGGGGAGATGTGCTGCAGAGAGAGTGGCTGAGGGGAGATGTGTAGGAGCATGGTCAGCACTGGCAGTTGATGAAATCGCAGGTTGAGAAGGTGTGGTTGACAATGGAATTCCAATACGTGATTGTCTGGGAGTCACACTGTTGGCATGAACAGCAGCAGCAGGAGCAGCAGCAGGAGGAGCGGCAGCAGCAGGAGAGGCAGCAGGAGCGGCAGCAGCAGGAGCGGCAGCAAGAGCGGCAGCAGGAGCGGCAGCAGCAGCAGCAGCAGCAGCAGAAGGGAAACGGTCACCAATAGCAGTTAAACCAGGAGCCTCCTCCCTTTCTTCCACGCCAACATCAGCATAGCTCACAACTCTCCTTGTCTGAAAGCCGTTCTCAGCACCAGGCGAAGGCTTACCAGGCCAAGCGTTATCAGCCAATCCAGGCACCTCCTCCCCCATTGTTTCCGCCCCAATGTCCCCATAGCTCACTACTCTCCTTCTCTGGACGGCGTTCGCTGCAACAGGCGAAGGGTGACCAAGCCAACCATTGACCACCATGCCTGGCAACTCCACCCCTCTTGTTTCCGTCTGGAAGTCCCCATAGCTCACAACTCTCCTTCCTCCCACCCCGTTTCCTGCAGCATCCCAGCCAGGAGGATTTCCGCCTGACCCTGCATGCGGAATGTTATCGCGCAGACTGTTACCAGGCGAAACGCTGACAGGGCAAAGGTCATCATGCGAAGGAAGACGAGACGGGAAAGGGACTAGCTCCCCTTCTTCTGGCTCAGCCTTCACAGCCGGCTGCACTCGCATAGCCGCATCACCTTCACCTCCCCCATCACAACTGGTTTTCTTCTTTTTCTTCTTCTTCTTGCCTCCGACTGCTGCTCTGGCTGTTCTTGCAGCTTCTCCTGCTCCTGACGACACTCCAGCTGTTGCTGACGCTGCCACTCCGCCTGATGCTAAAGCTGCAGCGAACCCCTTTCTTCCAATCGCAGAAGTACGAGCACATCCTCCTCCTCCCTGCTCTTCCTCTCCTCCTCCCCCTCCTCCTCCACTTCCTCCACACTCACTTTCCTCTCTTCCACGTCCCCCAACCTCTCCTTCTTCCCCTCCTTCTACCTCCTCTCTTCCTACTTCCCGCTCCTCTCCCCCTCCTCTTCCACCCTTGTCACCGCCCCGCCCCACACCTCCAACCCCCCTAAGCTCTTCCCCTCCTCCTCCCACGTCTGGCTCATCTCCATCCACACCACGCCAAAGACCCTCCTTCCACGCCTCGATCTCCCTCTCTCTCGCCCCAGCCTCCACCCCTCGCGCCTCCACACCATCCCAGTCCCACGCCTGAACCGTCCTGGGTCGCGGTTCCCTCCTCTCAGGCACATGCTCGCACGTTTGCTGCACAAACTGCCCGTTCTGCTGCTGCCCGAGCTCGTCCATTTGCTGCGCAAACTGCTTGTTCTGCTGCTGCCCGTGTTCCCACGTTTGCTGCACAAACTGCCCGTTCTGCTGCTGCCCGTGTTCCCACATTTGCTGCACAAACTGCCCGTTCTGCTGCTGCCCGTGCTCCCATGTTTGCTGCGGAAACTGCCCGTTCTGCTGCTGCCCGTGCTCCCAAGTTTGCTGTGCAAATTGCCCGTTCTGCTGCTGCCCGTGCTCCCACGTTTGCTGCGCAAATTGCCCGTTCTGCTGCTGCCCGTGCTCCCACGTTTGCGGCGCAAATTGCCCGTTCTGCTGCTGCCCGTGCTCCCACGTTTGCTGCGCAAACTGCCCGTTCTGCTGCTGCCCGTGCTCGGGCCCACCTTGCGCATGCTCCCGCCAGGCTTCGTGACAAAGCGACACAGCATGCCCGGAGCCACCACCGCCATCAGGAGCAACGGCATCAGGAGCAGGAGCAGCAACAGGAGCAACAGGAGCAAAAGGAGCAACAGGAGCAGCAGCAGCAACAGGAGCAGCGGAAGGAGCAGCAGGAGCAACAGAAGCCGCAGGAGCAACGGTAGGAGCAACAGGAGGAGAAGCAGGAGCAACATGGGCGTGAGGAGGAGGAGGAGCGTAAGGACCGAGAATTGAGGCATGCAAACCTGTTGCAGCACCGGGCATATGAGAAGCGGGAGCGAAAGAATGTGATGTTACACGGGCGGGGGTTTGGCGATGCACCTGGTAACAAGATGAGGAATCTGAATTTTGCCAAGCTGACTGAGGCGAAGGCGAAGGGTAAGGATAAGGGGTGACTTGAGGAGTAGGGGGAGTAGGTACATTAGGAGCGGGAGAGAAGGAAGGTAGAGGAGTGGGAGCAGATGTCCGAGCCTGTTCACCAGGTACGGAAACAAGTCGAGGTTCGGCATGCACGCCATAACTGTGGCTCGGAGTTTGGTTTGGGTGTGATCCAGTGGCAGATTGAAACGCATGGGATGCAGATCGGTTAAAAAGCACTGTAGCTGATACGGTAGTTGGTGCTGGCAAGAAGTATACAGGATGAGGATAAGACTGTTGAGGGTAATATTCAGGATGAAACGAGTGAGGCGGGAGGTATTGAGGAGGAACATACTGAGGAGGAAAGGACTGAGGAGGACCATATTGAGGAGCAAACGACTGGGGAGGAAGCGACTGGGGAGGTAATGACTGGGAAGGCAACGACTGTTGAAGTGACGACTGGGAAGGTAAAGGCCTTGGAAGTAACGGCTTAGGCAGTATAGACTTCAGAGGTATAGATTGTTTAGTTAACGTCTGAGACGCAGCAGCTCCAGGCGGTATAGTACTAGCAGTACTTAATCCTTGCACCTGTCCTGCCTGGGGTTGTGATCCCTGCATCGGCGCTCCCTGTGTTTCCTGAACTTGGGGGTTCAAGCTTGCCGTAGCAGGTCGACGGTAGACAGCCGGATAGCCGACTGCAATAGGCGGTATTTGTGACGGTTCACCAGCTGACCGGTTAGAATTGACGTTTGTGTGTCCGGACGAATCGTTCGTTGCCTGGTTGGGATTGACGACGCGCGGTAGTAGATGGAAGGTTCTCTGATCCATCACCTGGTCGGTGACGTTAACGGGACGTTAACGATAAAATCCGAAACGGATCTGGTGTCTCTTTGTTGACTCACGCACGAAGAAGGGGGTGGGAGGAACGGGAACAGAAGGAAAGTTATGCAACGAATTATCAACAAGAACCCCGCGTTGCGAGCTTTCCTAGCAAAAGAAAAAAAACACAGGCTTAACAAGAAAATCGCCTGAATTCAAGACCAGACCCAACTGAAAGAAAACAAGAAGCATGAGCAAGATGATGACGCGGAAGCGAACGAGAAGGTAATATAATAGCAGCACATGATAGACTGTGAGCAGGACTGGTAGTAGATCAGGAGGGAAGTGAGTCAGCAGAAAGTGGGTTGCAGGAGGGAGAGAAGACGAGTTTTGCGGAGGCTGCGGGGGAAGACGAGTTCTGATGCGGAATTTTGCGGCTGGGGTTTGCGGGGGGAGTCCGGGGGAGTGCGGCACAGGTGGGGGCAAGCCCACAGAGAATTCTCGGGGAACAGGGAAAATCCGATTGGGTGGAGGGGGCAAGGGGGAATACTTCCGCGGGGAGTCCGTTGGGAATGTGCTCGAGGTTTTGGATGTGACAAACGAGATGATCCCTGAGCAGTTCTGTGATGGCGGGAAACTGTTGTCAGAGCTCTAGAAATTTGTAATTGGTTCTCGAAAACACTGAAGCTCGCTAACACCCCGTAAACGTAACATAAAACCGCGATATACGAACTACTTGAAGGAAACAAAATCTGTACAGGTTCAAATGTGAATCAGTTATTGCTTTAGACAATCAAGTACCTACTGTATGTAATAACATGCTATCTTCATGTAAGTATAACCTGTTCAACCAGCCATTTCCTAGAGTGTTCTGAAGACAATACATCTCCGGTTCTGCAGACACATGAGCAGAAACAAACAAAAACGCCACTGATAAGCTGCGATGCAATGGCAGAAACAAAATGACTGCAGCAGAACTCAAAATCTATATACGGCATGCACTCATTCTTCATCCCCTTTGGTTTACCTCAGGAAACTGTGTATTGCCATCCCCTGATGCCAACTTAAGTATACCCTTGGGGCCGCTCCCTAGCTTCACCAACAATTGCGAGAAGCTCATGGTGAAGCACGCTCCGCTGTACCCCTGTGTTTACAGAAGACAGGAACAAACAAGCTAATCAGCGATGCATCCTTTGACATAACCAAATATAATTTCTTAAGATATGTATATATATATATACATTAAAAACAAAAAACGTAACGAGCAACATTGAGAGGTATAACTCACATTTCCAGACACTTGTCCTTTAGCTGCAAAGCGAATGCTTGGAGACGATGAGCTGGAAGGTGGTATCACTGAGATTGGAGGACACTTGAGCGCTTTGAACTGGCAGCCAAGCAAATGAGGGGAGAAGGGAATAAATACATGAAGAACATGAGAAACGTGTCGAAAGGTTTATATGTTACATAAGAAAACTGGGGTTGGGATTCTGGTAGAGATGGTGGAAGGAACACTGCAGAATCAAGGATACACTACAGCAGCGCAGGCAGAGACATATAAACTGAGAGAGAAACGCAGAAGGACCATGAGCGGATATATGCTCCGTGCTTGAGCTGTGGTAGAAAACTACACAAATTGTTAATGGTGTAGCAAAAAGGGTGTAGATTGCAGCTCACCTTCCAGACACTCACAGCTTTACACTTCGGCTTGAGCTTTCCTGAGATCGCCGGCGCCGATCGCTTGCTGCCAGGACCCAGGGCGACCCAAGGGACAACGAAGAGGAGGGAATGGGAAAACCAAGGTTGGTTTCGAGCACATTTGCACAATGGTCTCGACAAGCGCGCACCCGCACGCATGTACGCACGCGCGCGCGCGCGTGTACGGACAAAGAGGAAGCAGCGGACATGTGGGAACAAGCGGCGTTTTCACCAAAGGTGCTGGGTTAAGGGCACGTCGATCTGCATGACAGAGCTCCGAATCCAGAACTGCACGTCTACAGGCTGGCCACGGACCTGTGCAGGATCCCCTGGGTGAAGGGCACGTCTGGCTGCATGACAGAGAGCGCGTAGAGCGGCACGAAGCCCAGCGAGTTGTTGAATGCGAAATCGCACGCCTGGAGGGAAGGGAGAATGGAGGGGAGGAGTGAGTGGAGGGGAGGAGAGAGCGCAATGGAGAGAGGGCAGTGGAGATAGGGGAAACTAAGGAGAGGACGAGGTAGGGGGAAAGGGAGAGGACGGAGTGGAAACAGCGAGGAGGAGCGGAGGGACCGTGCGGGCACACAGAGAGAATGGCAGGAGAAGACAGGGAAGGGAACAAGGGAAGTGAGGGCAGCGAGGGGAGAGAGGGGAGGGAGGGGAGCGAGGGGGGCGGGGGGAGAGAGGGGAGAGAGGCGGGGGGGGAGAGGGGGGCGGGGGGAAAGAGGGGGCGGGGGGAGCGAGGGGGGCGGGGGGAGAGAGGGGGCGGGGGGAGCGAGGGGGGCGGGGGGAGAGAGGGGGGCGAGGGGAGATGAGGCTGCGAAGGCCAACCCTAAAAGCGCGCGGCACCTCGACCTTCCCCCCTTGGGAAAACCACGCATGGGGCAATCCCCCCGCGCGCGTGGACTTTCGCCTCGCGCGGGATGCTGACTGGGGGGAATTCCAGCTCGAATGCCCGCGCAGCCCGTCACACTACGCGCTCGCGCACCACCCCTACACCCCACGCCCCCCTTCCCCCCTCTCCCTTCCCCCTTCACCGTTCCCCCTCCCCGTTTTCCCCTTTCGCCTGACCACTGGCAACCTACCCCACATCCCCACCTCAATTCACCAGAGGCCATTCCCCCAGATTTCCCCCCCCCCCTCCTACTCTGCCGCAAAACGGGCTCACTTGCTCCACGCTACGTGCGCCGTAGGCTAGTCGTTCCCCGTGAAAGTTTCACCCCCTAGCTTCCCCCTGCAGTTTTCCTAACTGTTTATCCCCAGGGTTTCCCCAGAAGTTTCCCCTTGCCGCTTCCCCGCGAAACCGTGGCTCTTGAGTCGTACACGCAATAACTGTGGACCCGACCAGTCCGCTGCGCGAAAAGCAATTACGGGGGTAACGAACCGTGCGAAACCGTTTGCGAAAGTTACCTGCAGTGCAAAGAAGCAGGAGGACGGCAGAACACTCGGCTGGTTCGCCGGCGGTGGAGCGGCTTTGGCGGCGGCTTTCGTGGCGGCTTTCGCCGCGGCCAGGACGGACACCGCAGACGAGCACGACACGAGGTTAATGAGGCAGATTATAGCGAGTACGGAACCGCAGGATCCGTACATCCCTCCGTACGGCGGCGCTACGTGTCGTTGCGTTCGGCGAACGGGGACTTGGGAAGATGAAGTCGAAACGTCGAGTTGGGAGGCAGTTTCAAGTCTGGACGGATGATGAAACGAGCTATGAACGCCACGTCGGCATGACGATGTTGATAGCACTGTCGCGCTCTCGTGCGACTCTGCGATTCTCACATGGCTGCTGCGAGACGACCCTGCGACAGAATCCCGAAACAACGCATCTGCGACGACTTGCGAATCCCTACGGCGACTACAAGCCAGCTCGACGACCATATTTACTCCGTCGTTCCGTTCCGTATCCTCCCTCCCCCTCCGCTGCTCGCGCGCACTCGCGCTTACTTCCATTCCCACTCCATCTGTCAGCTCCGAGTCCCCTACGTGGCACGCGACTCGACGGTCTCGAGACTTAGAGTCGACGCGCAATCGACCGCTACCCGACCCCGCTGGTTCCAAGGAACTCGAAGCTTCTGAAGACGCTGTTTCGCTGGAACATGGCAGTTCTCGGGACGAGGAGGCAATGAGTGATGTGTCATGTTTCGCATGTTCGTGGAACGGAATTCTGAGAGACGTTGCACGCAGAGAAGGTTCCGACGACGCGGCTTCGGAAAACGACGCTTTATGGAGCGACGAGACGGAGGAAGGGGGTTGAGACGACGCGGGCTCGGAAGGCGACGCGGCGAGGGCCGCCATGGAAGCTGCTCTGACGCGGTAACGGTCATCGGCGTGAAGAGGCCTGGCCGCGAGATCCGACGCGGGAGGTTGGCCTTGCCGTCTGGCCATAACTAGCAAGTATGTTTCTATCTATGCTGATCAGGGTACCTGACTATTTATGTGTGATTGGAATGTCCGTTGTTCTAGAAACGCGCGGTTGGAGGGATGTCGATAGTAGTGTCTGATTCAGCTATGGCGTGGAGATGCTGATGAGATTCGCAGTCTGCTGTTGACGTACTTGAATACCCGATGCGTTGGTTGCCAAGAGACTTGGGAAAGCAGAAGGACTTCCGTAGTTCCTAAATAAAGCCGTGTTTTAGGGTGGCACCTCCTAGCATGCGATCCACGCTCCTTTCCGCGATGCGAACATCATGATACAGCAGTTACTTGTGAGATGTTCAGACCAAGTAATGGAAAGGCCGACAACCCTAATACTCGTGCTTGCATTGCAATCACAAACTGTAGATCGTGAGTGGTTGAGCGGCTAAGGACGGTGGTGTGGTGTGGAGTGTTAGGAGACCAGACTACGCCCTGATAGCGCAACGGCTGAATGTGAGAAACCAAAAATAGGTTCCATACATATTTCTAGTCGACCAGACCGAATTTCCTGCCCGAACATCGCTTTTGCGCCAATGGGGGTCTCAATCGATTCGCTCTTCCAACTGAGTACAGTTCACTCTGATCTGAATGAAACAACATGGATGCTATTGGTATGGTGGATGCGCCTGCCTTGCTGGTAGTCTGAGGGACAAGAGGTGAGATTTGAGACAAGCCGACAATCCTAGTGCAGCGGCGAGCGGAAAGCGGGAATCCAAGGGTAATGAAAGGAAGTGACCCTGCTCAGTGGAACTGGCATGAGAAAACGCGTTCTGGGTGTTATTGTACAACAATCTGTTCAGGTCGGTCGGTGCGAGCGAGCAAGTCTGTGCGGCAAACAGGGAAACGTCCCCATGACGTGCTGAGGCGCGGACGGAAATGGGCATCTTGATTCGGCTAAGTTCGGTTGGGAACATTCTTAGGTGGTCAACAACGCATGGCTGGACAGAATCTGCACTCTGCGTAGGGTGAAGGGAGAGTACGGGCAGAGCGGGGAACGGACACAGGAGGAGGAGGAGAGGAGAAGAGTGGGTGATCCCATGACACGTCACAGCGGAGTGAGGCGAGTCAAGGGGAGGAACCAACGGAGGGAGAAAAACGGGATGCGCAGCGAGTGGTGGTGGAACGGAAAGGAGTCACATTTGTGAGTGGTCGGCTCAAATCTTCCTCCAAGCTGACCCTCTTGTCGCATTCCGATCAGGTCAGCAAACAGTTGCACAAAACAGTCGAGGGGAGTTTCCCAAACCAGTGAGGGCTGTGCACCGACACCTAGATTCCGCATTTTCCCTCGATAAAATTCGTCGATCTCCAGCATTTCCCCCAAATTCTGTAAAATACCGACTGCAAATGCCCAGAAACATGTGGAACTGTCACCTCATGGAGGGAGGTAGGTATCCATCGAACTGTATTTGCTTACAGGGATAACACCGTCACCTGTGCCGAACCATCACCCGCTTTGTCAGGTGTAGCTGGTGCAATCATAGATACAGATTTGTCGGCGGGCAGCATGGTTCAGCACTCCCTGGCCCAAACTTCGAAGGGGGAGTGACTAGCCACTGGAAACGTGCCTTCTGGACGCGTTCTTTTCGCCTCATTTCATCAAACTCGGAACAGGGTTCGGTCGATTCGGCCGTGAGCAATGTCAGCGCATTCGGTGCTTTTCCGCGGCTCGCTGGACCACGCTGACATGGTGTCGGGTCAGAAGGACGCATATTCGTGAATATCTACACTATCTTTCCACCCTATGATATGCATATGAAGTAATCAATTATCTAAAGAAAGCATCATCAATGATGTCATGTGACTGAGAAAATGTTCACAGTTGGGAGGTTGCAAAATTTGTGTGCTTCCTGCTTATTTGTTTGTGGTCAGAAATTGCGATTGAGTAAAGAGCTTTACATTGCATGTGCAATCAAGTAGTACTTGGCTTCAATTGCAACGACCACACCGGCATGGTAACATAGCCACTTTACTGTGAAACAATCTTGTCCCTCTCACTTTGCACAAATCCTTTGTGACCCGGGTACCTGCCATCTTTATCTGGCCGCGCAATATCAAACAGGTGGGACACAAAGCCATACGTGTTTCCCCCAAGTCTGCACATAGGACGAAGTTTTGCTGCAAGACAAATGAAGGGACAGGCAATCAAAGAACGAAAAGCAGATTAAAGAAGGTAGGCACAGATGACAAAACACTAGCAAATAAATGCACCAGGTGTGACAAAAAACTAGTTACGATCGCAATCTAGGCGGTCTTTTTGACACTCACGATAACACATTTGCAGGTACAAACTCACCTGGGTCAACTATCAGTTTCCCAGTGTTGGGGGTGCGTGTAACCACATGCTCAGAGAAATGGAACATAACGACCTCCACAAGCACAATCGTTGTTGTCACACTTCCATCCCTGAGAGGTTGAATACGCATGAATATGAAGGTAAAAGTCATTCGGGCGACATGCTCAGAGAAATGGAACATCACCACCTCCACAAGCACAATCGGTGTTGTCACACTTCCATCCCTGAGAGGTTGAATACGCATGAATATGAAGGTAAAAGTCATTCGAACGACATGCTCAGAGAAATGGAACATCACCACCTCCACAAGCACAATCGGTGTTGTCACACTTCCATCCCTGGGTGGTTGAATGCAGAGTGAATAGAGGCAAAAGCCACACAGCAAAAAACTGGCATAACTTTATTTTATTTTATTTTCTAAAATGAAATGGACATCCTGCACGAGAGTGTACTGCATGACCTCTTCTGGTGAACGAAAACGGCACCACTCATTCTGCCCTCTTCTCTGCCCTCTTCTCTGCCCTCTTCTCTGCCCTCTTCTGTGCCCTCTTCAGCCTCTGACGTGAATCCCTTCCCTTCACCACGACATCTCTACTAGTACTACACCCACATGTACTTTCACGTCAGCACACACGGGTCCAACCTGCCTGTGACGTCAGCACACACGGGTCCAACCTGCCTGTGACGTTGTCGCACTGTCCTCTCCCCTTCGGCGGCTCACTCTCTTCTCCTCAGCCTTAGTACCCTGCTGACGCTCCAGGTCTATCTCCCATCCTCTTGTCCTCCCATCCGGTGATATGCCATGCGGCGCTTTTCTGCCTCTTTTTCGATGTACACCCATCGCTTGATAGTTAGTCCGGTCCGAACTGTGGCTGCCAGTCCCGGGCCTACGCCTCCAAATAGCTCCAACAGAGTCACCGGCTTGTTGAAGGTCTCGAAGTCATAAGTAGGCTCTGCTAACCCTCTTGCCTCCCGGAGCTCTCCCACCCTCTCCCCGGCTGCCTCTTCCACCTCTTTCCTTTGTTTGGTCTTTTCCAGGAACACCCCGCAGTCCTCGTAGTTCCACTCTGGCACCCTCTCCGGTGACGGCTCCTGGTAGGCCACTTTTCCCCTCAGGAATCGGGCTGGCAGACTCGCTGCTAGGTGCTCTTCCTTCCTTGCTTCGGGATCCCAATATAGCGGCTGGTAAGTCACATTTTCGGTCCAGGTGTCTACCACGGCCCCCACTTTGTACAGCAGTTCCATACCTAGCAGTAAGTCGTAGTCCTCCGAGTCCGAGATGAGGCAGTGCACCCTGATCCTTGTTTCGTTCTCGCTCCCTGGGGACAGCACCACCTCCTGAGGTTTCAAGGACCTAGGTAGCCACTTCCCTCCTCCTCCTTCTGCAGTCTGTATCCTTACACCTTCCCTGGTCACCTTATCTTCCTGGTGCAACCCCAGCCGTTCAGCCATCCTTCTCCCCACCAAGACTTGCGATGCTCCTGTATCGATGATTGTCGTTCCTGGGTATTTTCCTTCCACTGCCACCGTCCCCTCCAATGCCTCTACTACGCAGGGACGTGCCGCCAACCTCTCGAACGGGTGACGTCGGGGCCCGACCTCTCCTGCCGCTGTTGCTGCTGTCACCACTCCTTCTGCTCTTTCCACCGAGCGTTCTACGCTTGCTCTCGGGCCACGTCTTGCTATCGGGGTCGAGCTTCTGTTATCCCTCCCTTCGCTTCTTAGGCCCAGCTCCTCCCTTGCCCGGTCTGCATCCCTCGCCATGAATATTGGTTCCTCCAGGTCATCCTCCGACTCACTCTGTCCTCTGGCCATCAACCCGGTGGCTTCCTCTTCTTCACCGCTGGACACCTCCTCAGCCTTCAGCTTCCTCAGCTCTTCCTCCAGGGCTGCTATCCGATTGCGCCTCCCTCCCTTGTGCCGCTCTTCTCTCTGACGAGTATAACAGCTTTCCTTATTATGTCCTTTCCGCTGGCAATATGAGCACGTCTGGACCTTGGGACAGTCTCTCTTGAAGTGGCCAGGCTCGTGGCATTTGTAGCACACTGGTTCTTCTCCGGCGGCTGCAGTAGGATTCCTGGCCCGTCTGACTGGTCCTCTGCGCTCCCTCGCCTTGTCCGGCTCTTCTTCCTCACCTTCGGCCAGCAAGGCACCACTCCAGGTCACTGGCCTTCTCTCTCTATCCCGAGGGCCCCTGTCTGTCCGTCTTCCCAGGTCATAAAGACTGAGTGACTGCTCGTGTCGCCAAGCAATCTCGTACGCCTGCCGGAGTGTCGCGTTCGGCCCCAGATCGTAGGTTCTATCCCTCACAGTACGCGCCAGCTCTCCCGAGAGCCCATCCAGGAATTTCGCCACCACGATACGCGGATCGTGACAGCTGATGTCTTCCGCCAACTGCTTCACCCTCCGGTAGTACGCCAGCAGCGATTCTCGATGCCCTCGCCTCACCTGCTCAAACTCCCTCAACCTCGCCGGCGTCTGGGTTGGGAAGTGAGTCTGCAATTCTTCCAGGAACCTTTCCGTGGGGTCTTCCAGTCGAATGACGCGTCCCTCTGCATCTCGCCTAACTCTGCCCAGCTTGTCCCTCTCCTCCTCTTCGAGGAGCAGATCCCGAATTTCCAGGAAGAAGGCCTCCGCCTCTCCCGCTAGCGTGTTGCCCAGCGAGCGGAAGAAGTGACGTAAATCCAGCCCGTCCAGTTCCCAGCAGTATTTCTCGCTGCGCACATGCATCGCGTAGGTTTTCAGCCTGGGCCCCGATTCTTGATCGCCGGTGAAGCGTGCAGGTACCTCCACCTTAGGTAAGCTCGTGTAGCGGTATCTGCTACCCTCTTCTCCCAACGTCCTCCTCGACGCGCGCCCTGCTGATCCTTCTCCGATCTCGGCTCCCGAAGATCCTTCCTCTCCCGGCACCCGCCAATTAGACGATCGCGCCTTCGGCGTTGTCACTTCCGCCGAGTTCGCACCTTCTAAGGTTTTCCTCGGCGAGCGCCGTTCTCCTCTGAGCGGTCGACCCGCTCTCATCGCGAACTCCTCCTCGCGCCGCTTCTCTTCGTCGCGCGATCGCCGATCTCCCTGCTCCGGGTGGCTCGGCTCTCCCCGATTCTCTTCTTCCTCGGCTTCGGGCTCCGCCGGTCCCGCGCTGGCTTTCTCGGCCGCGCGATCTTCCTTCGTCTCTCGGGAATTCTCTTCCCCTGGCAACCGGGTGCCGCTCCGCAACGACATTCCGGTCATTTAGACTTCTGTTTGTAAGAGATCCGTACTAGGACCAACGATGTCCCTAGTTCTCCGCACACCCTCTGTTTGGCCTCTCTTAGTGGATCAAGATTTGCTCCAGCCGATTCACTAGAAGAAGAGCATACAGGCATACCACAGTAGCGAGAGAACAAACAGAAGTGGTTTAGCTCTGTCACTCTACGAGTTTTGTTGTTCCCCTCCCCGAATCGCACTAGGAGCACCTCCAACTGTGCATGGGACAACCTGTCAAACCTTTCTTGGTTTTCTCCGCCGTGAGGGCACCTTGGGGTTTCCCTCGTGACCTGCCTTGCTTAGCTGGCCCTCTCCCCAACTCCCAACTCAGCTTGTCATGCCCCACCGCCACGTCATTGTTGCCCCCATCCAACCGTACTTACCCCCTTCCGAGCCCTGCCTCGAGCTGTACTGTACCCTGAGTCCTCGGTTTTCTCGCAGTCTCCAACCTTAGCCACAACCACAGCTCTCTACACTCTTCGTGCTGTTACAATATTCCATATAACAATTTCAGTTCTATGGAATAATGCGACAACGTCAGCACAAACGGGTCCAACCTGCCTGTGGCGTCATCGCTAACAGGACCAATCTGTATGTGACGTCAGCACAGCAGGTCTCACCTGTCAGTGACGTCATATGTGTGTCTGACAACGCACTCCATGTTGACTGCTGACTCAGCAACTCGGGGTGGCTTCACCTGGGGCAGGTGGGAAGTTGGAGGACGGAGGCAGGAGGGGGGAGGTGGGAGAGGGGAGGTGAGAGGGGGGAGGTGGGATGTGGAATGTAAGAGTTGGAGAGTGGGAATTACAATGGAAGGGGGAATGAGTGCTGAAGAGAAAATACGGCAAACCAGTGGACATGCATGGCGAAACGACTGGCATGCAACACAAGCTTGTGCTCTCCACAAGAGACGGCACCGGGGTGAGGCCGGTCCGCTATATCTCAATGGAGCCCCAGCAGGGTGAGGTCACTCCAAGCTTTACGTGGCTACACAAGAGACGGCAGCAGGGTGCGGCCAGTCCACTATATCTCATGCACCTCGTGGGGGAACAGCACTACAGCAGGGCACAAAGCATCAACCACTCCGCTCCTTCCACCACAACAGATGGCACAATGTGTCGCATCCATCTTCTCACCACAACAGACGGCACGGGCGTGAGGCCAGTCCGGTCCATTTGTGTTTTGAGTCGACTCAAAACACACCGTGAGGCCAGTCCGGTCCATTTGTGTTTTGAGTCGACTCAAAACACACCGTGAGGCCAGTCCGGTCCATTTGTGTTTTGAGTCGACTCAAAACACACCGTGAGGCCAGTCCGGTCCATTTGTGTTTTGAGTCGACTCAAAACACACCGTGAGGCCAGTCCGGTCCATTTGTGTTTTGAGTCGACTCAAAACACACCGTGAGGCCAGTCCGGTCCATTTCATCCACTTCAGAGCGGAAAGGCACCACAGCAGGGCACCACAGCAGGGCACCACAGCAGGGCACCACAGCGGGGCAGGAGGGGAGTTCACAGAGAACCGCTCCCACATCCCTCATACCGCTTCCACATCCCTCATACCGCTTCCACATCCCTCTTCTCACCATGACAGATGGCACAGGCGTGAGGCCAGCCCGTTCCATGTCGTGCGCGTCGGGGGAAGGAGGGGGGAAGGGGGGGGGGAGGGGGGGGGCACCGCACTACTACAGGGGGGCACAGAGCAACGCTCGCCTCTCCCCACAACATCCCTCTTCTCACCACAACATCCCTCTTCTCGCCACAACATCCCTCTTCTCACCACAACATCCCTCTTCTCGCCACAACATCCCTCTTCTCACCACAACATCCCTCTTCTCACCACAACATCCCTCTTCTCACCACAACATCCCTCATCTCACCACAACATCCCTCTTCTTGCCACAACATCCCTCTTCTCCCCACAACATCCCTCTTCTCGCCACAACATCCCTCTTCTCACCACAACATCCCTCTTCTCGCCACAACATCCCTCTTCTCACCACAACATCCCTCTTCTCGCCACAACATCCCTCTTCTCGCCACAACAGTTGGCATGGGCGTGAGGCCAGCCCGTCCCATCTCGTGCATGTCGGAGGAAGGAACCGGGGTGAGTGGGGGGTGGAAGTGGGGGGGCTACAGCAGGCCACAGCACAGCAGGGCACAGCACAGCAGGGCACAGCACAGCAGGGCACAGCACAGCAGGCCACAGCACAGCAGGGCACAGCACAGTGCATCAACCGCACACCCCTTTCTCTCACCATGACAGACGGCACAGGCGTGAGGCCAGCCCGTCCCATCTCGTGCACGTCGGGGGGGGGGGGGGGAGGGAGGGGGGCAGAGAGCACCGCACTACAGGGGGGCACAGAGCACCGCACTACAGGGGGGCAGAGAGCAGCGCACTACAGGGGGGCAGAGAGCAGCGCACTACAGGGGTGCACAGAGCACCGCACTACAGGGGGGCACAGAGCACCGCACTACAGGGGGGCAGAGAGCAGCGCACTACAGGGGGGCACAGAGCACCGCACTACAGGGGGGCACAGAGCACCGCACTACAGGGGGGCACAGGGGGGGCCCTCTCTCACCATGACAGAGGGCACAGGCGTGAGGCCAGCCCGTTCCATCTCGTCCACTTCAGGTGGAAAAGGCCCGCACGTGTGATTGGCCGCTTCCACGAACCAATCGCTGATCAGCGCCACCACCAGCTCTCTGATACAGTACACCCGTGAATGATTGAAACAGATATATTTGTAATGGAATATTATAGAACAGGTGTTACAGGTTGACCCCCAGATCGATCAACACTCTAATTGATCCGGCTGCATAAGTAACATTCAGGATTGGTTACTTAAGCATAATGAACAAATGACATTAACATCACTCGTGACTCATTTACACGATTGGCACAGTACCTTGTATCGAGTATGTTTGTGAGCGAGTCCTTGGGCTTCCCACTGGACCAGCAGTGACCAATCGCAAGCATGGGCGGATTGTGCGCCACAGCATTGAAATAGGAGTAGGGCGAGAGATTTCCCACACCCGTCTGGAGTGGATGGGGAGAGCAGCGCGAGGAGAGGGGGTGTGGAGGGACGTTGGAGAGGAGATAGGATGCATGCATTGGGGGATTGTGGTTCAGTCACAGCGTTGAAATAGGAGTAGGGGGAAAGATTTCCATCGCCAGTCTGGAAAAGACGGGGAGACCAGCGAGAGAGGGGGGGTGAAGGGATGAAGGTGAGGGGATAGGAAGCAAGCACGGGGAGATTGTGGGTCAGTCACAGTGTTGAAATAAGAGTAGGGGGAGAGATTTCCCACACCAGTCTGGACAGGTAAGGGAGAGCAGGAAACAGGCAATGAAAGAAGATTAAAAAACCCATCGCCAGTGCATCATGTTTTATCAGGGATACAGAGTCAGGATGGAATGTCTTTTCTTCTTGTAACCCCTACCTTGGAAAGTGTAGAGATAAAGGCTATAGGCCGAGGAACCACTGTGCTTATAACGAGGGGGTACAGCACACTGCTGCTGCAGTCCGCTACTCGCACACTCACCACCCCCACCTCCCCTCCTCCCTCTCCTCCTTTTCCCTCCTCTCTCCTACCCTCCTCTTCCCCATCCTTCCCACCCTCAGTGTCAACCGCTGAGGGGACAGGGAAGGGCGGCAGCAGCTGATCAGGAGCCTGCCAATCGGGGTGCGGTGGACGGATCCACGTCACTGCCACGTCAGCAAGGTCCACATCTGTGCGTTTAATTCCTGCTGCTGTTCCGTCTGCTGCTGCTGCGTCTGGTGCTGCTTGTGAGCCCGCCGCTGGTGCTGCTGATTGTTGTGCAGTAGGGGCAGGCAAAAACCGGCCTGAGGAGCGGCGAGAGAGAGAGAGAGAGAGAGAGAGAGAGAGAGAGAGAGAGAGAGAGAGAGAGAGAGAGAGAGAGAGAGAGAGAGAGAGAGAGAGAGAGGGAGGGAGGGAGCGGCAAGAGAGGGGGAGCGGTAAGAGGGAGAGGGAACGGCAAGAGAGAGGGAGCGGCAAGAGAGGGGGAGTGGCAAGAGAGAGCAAGCGGCAAGAGAGAGGAAGCGGCAAGAGAGAGGGGGTTAAAGTTAGTCACAGGGCCGCTGGTGTCAGGGGGGAGTGAGATGAGGGTGGAGGGGAGGAGAGGGAGAGGGAAAGGGGGAGCGGGGAGGGAAGTCAGATGGAAACGGAGAGCGGGAGAGGGGAAACCGAGGCGAAAAAAGGATGAAAAACTCAAATTCCGGAAGTGGAAGTTAATTTCCAGGGAAGGCTCGCAGCACACCCACCAAGAGCGCCTCTTAATTGCCGCCCGACCAATGGCAGCAGAGCTCCTGCCACCAGACCGGCAACTCCAGCGCACGCCACCGAACCTGGACCGAATTCTGACGAACCTGATCCGGGCCTCCCCGAAGCTGATGTGGTTTGGGTTTGGTCCATATCAGCTTCCACCAGGATTCGACCAAACCGGGTCGAGTCCGATATGCAAAGTAGAAAACAGAATTGTTCTTAGTTTGAGTAATATAATTGTCGTATATATCAAAGAAGTCCACTTGCGGTGAGCGCGCTGGTTTGTTACAGAAGCGAACTCGTCGGTTGGCATACACCTTGAATGCGTTTGTCCTGACAGGTATCCGTACCTAATAGGTTATATCCCGGACAACTCCAATGATTGTTTGCAAAATGACTTCGAGCCAGACGTGATAAACTGAGTTCCAATCCTGTTGGTGACGGTTGTGAAGTTGTAAACTACGCCATGAACTACTGAACCACTATGTGCAGTGCTGGAAACCTCTCCCAATTTCCACCGCTTTAGAACTTTGCGCACCAGATCGCACCAGTTTAAAACAAATGGACTTGCCCAATAATGAGACACGACACACAACCTTGGAAAACCCGACAATTTCCCCTCATACAAACTGACTCGTTAATAATTTAACAAAGGCGTGAGAAATCACTTTAGCAACAAGAAAGGAACGAAGCACTTGCACTTTGATTGTCCCCATCCTTCTCATGTGTCCTCTTTTACATTCCCTGAGTGCCCGAGACGTCGCCCCAGCTCCTATGATCAAATCTGCCAATTGCAATGAAGTGAGATCAGATTTGCGTCGCTGATGTCTCGCACTTTACTAAAACATGCATTCGAGCACCACATCACGGCAGCAAAATACGAACATTTTCTAATCAGTACCGAGCATCAAACTCCGATTTCACGCTTCTATATGAAGCCACTATTTTTGCTAAAAGCAGTCCAGAATCAAGTCTGGTTTGAGGGGACTTTCCTAAGAATCAAAAGTTACGGTTTGGAACTCAGAAATTCTCAACTGCACTTGAAAACAGCTAGCACTTCACTCGGGAGGCACAGACACGGAATGACACCGCCCCCCAACCCACCACACTCGCATCGAATCCTTGCCAGCTGAAACCCACGGCGTTTGGACAACCGTGGGAGGCCGCAAAAAGGATCCCCAAAACGCCAAAAAATGTGAGGAGGCGAAAGCAGTCTGCCATCAGGCCCACCCTCCACCAGGGAAAATCGCTGAAGCAAGAAAATCGTTTCAAAATTTGCCGACCAGAAAGTTGTAAGATGTTTGGGTGAACTGCCTTTTACAGTACGCAAGACCACCCATTCCACCACTGCCATTCCTTCCCAGCTACATATATTCCACTCCACTCCACCCCACCTCCTCGTCATCGCCTCTCTCGATCGCACCTCAGGGCGCCTTCCTGCGAAGTCTGGACATGGACAGCCCCAAAAGTGCAGATTTTTTTGTCCACCCTGGCAGCTTCCACGTCTACCTCATGTGCAAGCCGATTCTGATGTGTGTGATCGTTAGGAGTATGCGAAACCTAACGCCCAATCAGATTTGCCTGCGCGACTCAATTTACAGTCAGCGTTCGCAACCCGAAACCCTCAGCAGATTCTCGCCACACGTCAAAGGGTCTCATCGTGGGGGGTCTTCGCACGTTCAGGGTCTGTGAACTCACTCGATGTCCAGATTCGTTGCCTTCCACCTCATCACAATGACTACTCACCTGCACGTGCGAAGTGCACTTTTCGCTGTCGGAACTTCGAAGTTCGGACAGCCCAGGAAGGCGATCTCAGTCCACCACCTGCTGGCAAATGTTTTCTGTATCTGCTTTGATTACAGTACTCCAGAGCCCAGCCAACGCGAGCGACGATTCGCGATGAAGCTTCTTCTTCATCCGTGCTTCCTGTGCACGCCGCTTCATCTGCTTAGATACTTTGCTTCTTCTGCTTCTTCGGCAGCATTTTTATCCAGGCTGGATCCCTCAAAGGACATTGCAGAGCTGCGTTGCATTGCATTGCTGCACCCGTGTGAAAGCCTTCACTCGAACGTCCTGTCTTCGTGGTTTCGCCCTCCTGCCCCATTCTCCCTAAATTTTCCGATTCAAACAGATACTCCTTTCAGTACCGTTCAAGCACCAGATCCTATCGTTGTCCTTCCTTACACCGACTTGACCACGAGGCGGGCGTTACTAGGTTCAGTTATATATTTTGGTCCGGACGGGAGCAAAACCTCGACGCTGCTCGGGAATGGGGGTTACTCCTGCGACGACTGGCGACGCCGCCATGCGACGAGTCATCGAATGGCGAGAAAATCACGCTGCAGCATTCGCACGCGACGTCACCAACGACCCAGCGAGGCCCGCAAAAACTTCGCGATGGGAAGTGGAATTTTGCGCAGCTAGCAACCTGTGCGACAAGGACTGGCGACAGCCTGACGAATATCATTCGCTGCGCAGATTCGCTGAGATTTCTCCAAAAGGTAAGGCATTCTGTCTGTGCGCCTTGTTTTGAGTCGACTCAAAACGCAGAAGGTAGGACATTCTGTCTGTGCGCCTTGATTGATGACTCTGCTCTGAATGGTTTACTGTAAGCTTGTGCCTCATGCTGTCTGTATACAAGTGCTGAAATAATCTAACATCATTTGCATTTTTCTTCTTAATGTACAGAAGCTCGCGAAGCTGTGAGTGAAGAGCAACTAGCTAGTATGCGAAGACTCATCCACCAATCGGCGTACGACATGTGGATCGCAGATGACATGCTTGTGACCATGCTCAAGGACGCCCTATCGCATCAGACAGCCCAATATATGCAGTGTAGAGACAATCTCAAGCCTTGCAGCAAGAGGAAGTCGAAAACTTCAAGCCAGAGCAGCAGGAAATGCAGCGACCAGAGCAGCAGGAAATGCAGCGACCAGAGCAGCAGGAAATGCAGCAGCCAGAGCAGCAAGAAGGGCAGCAGCAATGTTGGCAGCAGCAGCAGCAGCAGCAGTATCAGCAGCAGCCCAACTACCACATATAGTAGGAGCAAGGACACGTGCTGCAGTGGTAGTGGTAGGAGCTGTAGTAGCAGCGGTAGTCAAGACGCCAGTGCCAGGTGCAGACGATGCAGCGGGAAAGCCATGATGAGTTGGTTCAGTATGGTGCGCTTATACAAGCTTAGTGCAAAATAGTGAAAGTTCTTTCTACTGTCTGTAGTTCTTCTGTAGGGGATGGAAGCTTTCACGACTTAAGCATGACTTGCATGAAAGCGTTTCGAGACTTGACAACGACGGATTGTTGCATGTTCTGCAGACACGTATGATGACTCCAAATCACAACTATTCCTCGGTGAATGCATGTATGAATCTAAAAATTGAAAATTGCATTATTCCAAATCGCCACAAATTGCTGCCTTCAGTGTGCACACAGCACACTAATCACCTACTCCTATCCTACCCTCCTAAGGAAGACAATGACACGTCCATGATCTGCTAGGCTGAGCCCTTACCCACTGTGTTTGTTCCCCGCCCTTGTGCATGAACAAACAATTAGTTTATTTCATTAGTATTGGGTGCGTCTTCTGGAAGGGGGACTCCAGCTTACCTTTGGCTTCCCCACTTCCCCTCCCCCTGCGTGGTGCGGCTTCTTGTTCTTCTTCCCCTGCCTTCTGACTTCGGATTGGTCAACGAGAGAAGCGAGGAAGGAGGGCGAGGAGGAAGCAGACCCATCAAGATATCCGCAGCAGTGACGTCTCTGTAATTGGTGGATAGTGGACTGAGCAGCCCCCATCGTCTCTCCGTGTTTATGCCCAGTATAGAGGCTGAACGCGCGTCCCTTTCCCTTCGAATCCCTGGTAATTCCCCTCCATCTTGAACGCATTAGGCTGCTATCACACCGCATCACAAACGGCCATACCACATCACACCGCTCTTGATCCACGTTGCGTTCGCCCTGCATTCGCCAATCCCCCAACAGCCTACTCCTCCACCCTCCGCCTTCCCCACACCCCCACTCTCCCCCTCCTCTCCCATAATTCTGTCCATCTCCCGCGCTTCTTACACCACGTGTCCGCATTGCAACCGCGCGATTCCTCCCGACCCCTCCACGCACGAGCACCGCCTGTAGTCATCCGCGCTCCCGATATTACCGAACCCTTTAGCGAAGTAACCACCCGCGAATGGGCACAGATTCGTCCGCTTTAGCGCCTTGCAGGTTCCGGCGAAAGGGTGTTCTGTCTGGCGCTTCGCCGACTTGTGCGCAACACACGCCATGGGCAGCATCCCCGATATAGGCAGCATGTCCGGACATTGCATCGCGTTACTGTGCCCAAACGAGCACTCGGCGCGCTTCAGAACGTACGAGTCTGCTCGGTTCTGCCCCACCATAGATGGCTTCTTCATAAGCATCTTCAAATAACACTGTACCAAATCGTCGCTTAAACCGGGAACGGGGATGTCAATAGAGAAGCCGCGGCAGTCGGGAATCTCGAGGCAGCGTCGCCCGCACGCCTCGGGAGTGGCGGCGGGTCCCACGGTGTCGATTGTGGGGGAATGGTAGAGCGTATTGGGCGAGTGGAGGAACGCTAACGTGGCATCTGTCAGAGATTAAATAGGATAAAACGGACAAAGAACAGGTATGACAGTTAGTGACCGGAAGATGCCAACGAGTAGACAAATGGAAAGGCGTAGATACGAGATCAAGGGATCGGGTTTGGGGGAGGGGAGAGAGCACAGGAGGCGTGGGAGGTGAGGATATAACTGGAAGTTCGCATGTTGCCAAAAACGGAAGGACTCACTTTGTTTGTGCACTCGCACGTTGTCAATAACGGGGCCGTGAATTCCGGGAGTTGTCGACGCGAACAGCAGAGTGACAGCGACGCCAGGTGCTTCAAACGCGAGCGTGTGCGACCGCCACCCCATCCCTTCGCGACTGCGTTTCGCCTCCTCTGCACCTCCGTGCGAAAAGGTGTCGAATTCGTATGTTCGCGCGGTAACCGGCGCCCCACTGTCCTCGTCTATCACGCTGACCCGCAGCGATCGCACGGCGCCCTCGTCTTCCAAACCGGGATCGCCAGTGAGGTCGAAGTGCACGAAGTAGAATTCGCCTGGTCGGGTTACCACACGCTGCGCGAGAGTCGCAGGTCCGTGGCC